CCCCCGCGCCGGGAAGGGCGCACGCCCGGACTCGGCGTTTTCCTCTTCCCGCTGCTTCCCCTGCGTTTATCCTCGCTTCCAGGAATTTTAAACGTTCTCCTGGCTACCAGAACTATTCTTGGCATCCGACCCTGGGTGCTCATCGAGTTCTCAGCCATCGGGGGGGGTTGTCTCACTCTGCGAGGTCCCGTCTGGGTTTTGCCTCTTGAGACCCTTTCCCAGGACAGATCCAGGGCAGCTCAGCGCTGAACCGGCCGCAGTTTCACATGTAGTACCCCACCAGGTGGTCTAGCCTGGCTAAAACCAGTCTTGAGGGAAGGTTCTGCCTCTCTCCGTAGGTTGGTGTATTCAGCAGAGAGCCTGAACGCTGGCGCCCACGGAACGTTTCTGTAATTCCAACATAAGACCAAGAGTTTTATTATACCTATAAATACGTTTTTAATTCTGCCGCGCGCTTGTCTGCGGTAGGACTAATGTGGGAGTGAGTTAGAAGGCTCAGCTGCCAGCTGTGGGGTTGGGGATTGATTTATTTTCATGGATTTTTTCCTTCTCAGTATAACTGACTCAGTGAAGGCAGCAGGCGTTGAGGCAGATCCCGTGTAGGTGATGAGGAGACAAGCGGAAAATACGAGGAACCCTTTCAGCATCGCTTGGAGCTACGTATCCACTTGTCCTCTGTTACCCAAATTATATTTGGGAATGTAACCAGCACTGAAGTTCAGACAGTAATCAACTACAATAAATTTTTTCCTTAGCTGAAAGCAGGGGCAAGTTTGTCTGATATGGCAGAGATTTACTGCCAGTTAATGGAAAAAACAAAAACAAAAAAAAAAAAAAAAAAAAAAAAAACCAAACCAAAAAAAACACATGTTGGTGTATTGGAGAAGAACCCGAGTGCAGTTTGTGGCATTAACTTCTAGACAACCAGCTGCAGTTTTTTGATAATGTTGTGCCGTCTGTGTTTTTCTTATGTCTTGCACAATAGCAGTGGACGTGTCCCTCCGAAGAGGTAAGGGGGTTTTTTTGCCTTTTTCACCAAGCTTGCATGAATATTACCAAGAGAAACACAGGTTATACTTAGAGATATATTTTTAATATATTTTACAATTTTTCAAAAAATTATATGTTATATATTAACACTGCTTTTGCAGTGCAGCCAGTTTTAATTTCTGTGTAAAATGTTGGCAGATTCTGAGTACTAAACTGTTCAAAAATCCCAGTATGAAGGGTGTTTAAATTCCCACTCTGAGAGTGGCCATGCAGGAAGGTACAAGAATAAAGAAAAGCCAGCATACATCCCATAGAGCGGTTTATAATGGCCTGTCCTCACATCCCATTTGTTCTGAGCACCTTACAAATGTTGCTAAATGGTTTTCTTCTGTAAAAACATGTAGATCAGCAGATTGCATCTGCCGCGTGTTTGAAAAGAAATATTTACTGAGTAAAACTAAACTGTTTGTTTCCACAGTCTAAATATTGGGACTCATCTGCTGAGAAACACACAAGTGCATAATTTTAGATGATGTATCTTTTCACTTTGATCTTGACTTTTCTTGTAATCACAATAAGCCATGCTGCTTCAGGCATGAGAAAGTCCTTGGCTCATGAGTCTGAAAACAGACGTTGTTTACTCCCTGGGCAGTCGGTGACACTGAGCGGAGAGCGATGCTTACGGTTGAACTGGGTGAGCACATCGTGATACGCTGCAAGATACGCTCCATGAAACCATTACGCACACCCCAGAAGATAAATCACTGGTGTCTCTGCTTGTGTGAGGGGATCTCTAATTTTAGCCATTTAAATTCCTTAAAAATCATAGCAATTTAAAAAGAAAAATTAAAAAAAATAAAGCCTCCTCGAACCCTTGTGAAGGAAATCTCTTTTTAAAAGGTTGCATAAGGCAGCCTGCGCTCTGACACAGCGTTGCCTCTTTGTAAGGAACTCCTGGGGTCTTCAGGTCGCAGAAAATTCCTGAGGTATCCGAGAAGAGTCCAAGAGGCTTTTTTTCCCTCAGGTCGTGTTTTCCATGTCGGCTGTCGTTCGGTGCAAAACTCAACCAAACGCAAGTGCTAGCGTGCACTTCTGGTACTAACAGGCATAGTTTCTGTAACAGGTTTCTTTCCGTTTCTTCAGGACAGGCAGTTTGCCGGGGTGGAACACAGCAACCGTGCTACAAAATGGGTTATTTTCATGATGCTTCACGCAGGGTCGGCTATGAAGACGCACACCGTGCCTGCAGAGCTGATGGCGGACATCTAGTCAGTATTGAAACAGAAGCAGAGCAAAGACTGATTGAAAAATTTATTGAGAGTCTCTTAGCTTCTGATGGAGATTTTTGGATAGGGCTTAGGAGGAAAAAGGAGGAGGTAGACAATAGTACAGAGTGTCAGAACCTCTACTCTTGGTCAGATGGCAGCTCATCCAAGTTCCGGTAGGTACCTGTGAGTGAGACTGGGAAGCAACCTGGTCAGGGGACTGTCACCTGCCTTTAGCGACCCAAAAGGATTCTTTCAAAAGAATCTTGCAGTGTTGTCCCAGCTGTCATCTGTGGTCCTTCTGCAGTCACTGAAGAGTGGGAGTGTCTCCAGAGAGCATTCATCAGATGTAAGCCTGTAGACAGGCTGCTCTCTACAGACCCTGCTCTCTCTTTGCTGCTCTATGGAGGACACCTAGAGTGTCAGCTTGGGCTAGACTGATCATTTTTAATTGCTAAAAGGGGATGGAAAAATTGAGCAATCTGGTCTTAAAAACCTCCGGTTAGGCGTGGACAAAATACGTGCTTTGCCCTGAAGGTTTCTGCACTTCAGATCCCCTGAAGTTTTGTCCCTGATGTCCTGAGCAAATGGCCCTTCTTCTACTTGATGAGGGGAAAATGGCGCTTTTTTTTTTTCCTGTGAGACAGTAAAATTGGAGAGCTGCAGTATTTATTGTAGGCATGAAAAATTAAAATGTTCATGCTACTTGTGCGATTTCTGCCTCCTTGTCTTAAGGCAAGTGGAACCACAGCATTTGCTGTCATTACAATATGAAGACACCGTTTACAACCAATACAACTTTGCTCCGGTTGTTTTCACATCTCTCTGTTAAGCACAGAACCAAAATGCGTTCAGCCGCGGAAGTTCTGCTAAATTAGGAGTTGATTTCAATCATGAGTCACGTTTTTCTAGACAAAAGATATTCATCGATCCAAGCCTTCAAGGTCTGCCTTTCTGCGGTATCGAAGTAGGAAATCTGCTCTAAACATTGCCAGGTTGATGAAAGCCTTAGCAAGGAGGTGCCAGCTCTACAGTGAACCTCAGGTTCAAGGGAGTTTTGCCTGATAATAATATTTAAAAATCAAACTATACAGTGTTCACTCATTACCCTGAACTTCTGGCGGCGTTTACGGTGACTGAACTGCAAATTCCATTAAATAACCCAAAGGTTCTTTTAATATTTCATGGCAACATGTCATATGTATGACAAGTCTGCCGAAGCATTCTTCTTGATATTGGACATGTGTAAAAATAACCGTTACTGTGAATTTTATGCTTTGGGAACCCATAAGAAATTTTAGTTGCTCTGTGCAGAAATTAATAAACCAGAACTGCTTTTAGTGCTGTTGAATATATTGAAAGTTACTCCTCTAGTTCAGGTATTGGGGGTAGATAATAGGAAGCTAGAACCAGATGCTGCTAAGAAACAAGCATAACTTTATTGCCTTTTATCGATGAGATGTAGCTTGCTTATCCTGAATTCCTGAATGATAAAGCCAAGGAAAAGATCACGGGCATGGCAGCAGGGGGACACTAGGGGAGGAAGGAAGTGAGGAAGGACTACAGCATCGGAATGATGGAAAAAAATCTGCTTTCATGTGAGGGGGGTTTCCCACGTTGAATACCTTGGTATAGCTGGAATTATTTGTGTCGTATGGATCAGTTTTCAGAAAGTGCTTGACATGCAGAAAATTCCTTGTTCCAAAATCGGTGGGTATTGAGCATTTTTCAAAGTCGGGACACACTTAGAAGTGTTTCTCGGAGCTACATAAAATGGCTCTTCACTCCCAGTTGGGTTAGAGTGCCAGGTGGGGAAGCCTTCTTCCTGTGTGCTACTTGGAAGGGCCTCCACACTTTTCCAGTGGTGAAGTTTATTTTTACCAAAAAAAATTATCTGCAAGACAGGTTTTTTTTAATGTTAGTGTTTTTCTAGACAGAGGAAAAAACAAACAGATCCCACTTCAGCTTTTTCATTTGCTTTTTAAATAGGTGTCGGAACTTTGCAGGCATTGGGCACTGCGGCCAGAAAGCAAAAATTATTTTGATAGATGATTTTGCACGTCTAAAATTCCGTAGAAAAAAATCAAAGTTCCCCCGAGCTTTTACCCAGCCTTGCAGAGGAGTTTCAGCCAGTGAGGTACACAGCCCTTCCCTCCCTAATAATTGTTGCACACCTTGCTGAGTCTGTGGGAATTAAGAATTACAAAAGGACAAGATACACTATAAATAATGGTGTTGTTATTGCTCCGATTTTTACAGAGTAGAAGTGGAGGGTGAAGGTGGGGGTTGCTGAGCTGGAATCCTCTTGGATTCTGCCCTCCGTGGTGCCCCGCCTGCTGTATCTCCATTTGAGCTTCTGCAGTACAATGAAAAATGACGTCAAGTCTTACTTGACACGTTTGTTGTGTTTTCTTAGGAACTGGTATGTAGATGAGCCGTCCTGTGGGAGTGAAATCTGTGTGGTGATGTACCACCAACCATCTGCCCCGCCAGGTGTCGGAGGTCCTTACATGTTTCAGTGGAACGATGACAGATGCAACATGAAAAATAACTTCATTTGTAAATACTCTCTCGGTAAGGAGACATTCTGTAGCTTTAAAAACCGACCAGCTCCTGGTCCCCAAGAGGAGGTACAAGGAGGCTGCAGGATAGGGAATCCCTCTCTTAGCTTCCCTGGAAAGATCTGGTGGGAGACGGACCTTTACATTTATGCAAGACCAGGAGAAAGCAATGTCATTGTCTAATATCTGTAGCTACTTGCCTTCTGGCTGATACGAATTTTCAGAGGATTTTTATAATTAATTTGAGATCTCAAACGGGGCCTGGGGGGGAGAGAAACACTACAGAGGGGTACTCGTGTTATTGGACTGTGTTCAGTACACTCGGTCTCCCTCCTCAAGCTCATGAGGAAATTGTGCGTATCTTTTTTCTTCTAGAGAAGCCAACGAATGCTCCAATAGAGAATTCTCAAAAAGGTAAGCTACAGATAACTTTGTTTGGGGCTTTTTTTTTTTTAATGATATGCTAACTTTAGAGAGTAGAAATAACTCTCTGCTACGTTCATTGTCAAGGACCCTCGCAGCTGAGCAGGAAGGTTTCCCTGCAGTTTGCACGTTCCTCGAGCTGCTGTACAATCTTGTCTGCAGGAACAACCTTCCTGTTGGTGCTGCCATGTCTGGGACTGCTGGTCGTGCTGCAGAAATCTGAGCAAAAGAGTCCCAGTGCACCTTAGGCATCCTTGCAGCAGGCAGCCTCTTCAATCTCCTCTTGCTATCACTTTTTTATGATTCTTTAATGCTTTCAGAGAACATCTGCAGTATTAATTAAGCTGCTTCTTTCCAGATGTTGTAACAGAGCCCTTGAACCCAGCGTTCCCAGAAGAAGGCCATGAGAAGGATGCCAATGTCACAATTATAGAAGCCAAAGGTACGTTGTACGTTCGACAGCTGGCCTGTTCTCTCTCTGACTGTGGAGGCCAACGTTTCCCAACAGTCAGCATTTCAGTTTGAAGCGTTCGACCCTAAACGGAGAAGTCTGAATTTAGACAACTTCATCTGGAACAAAGACTTCCCTCAAATCTTTTCCAGTACATACCTAAAGTGATTGCTTTGGCTACGCAAATGTTCTGAATCTAAAGCTGTGCAAAGTACTTTGGGTCTGAAAAAGGTACTTTTAATTTATTGAGAGGCTTTTGAATGTCTAAATTGTTAATGTTTTGTCTCTAAGTCTACCATTAACTATGAAAAACTTTCAGTTTCTACTTTGCTGGCTTCCCCCCTACAGATTCACAGATTCTTAAAAGACATTTTGCTTTCTGAAATCTTCTGGCTGAGGGTTCCAAAGCTTTTGGAAGACAGCACAGCCCATTAACTTGCACTCCCGTTGCCTTCTTACAGTGAGGCCTGGCTCCTCATCTTGAAGATTTGAGCTTATTTTACTTTAACCCGCTTAACTAGATGATCAGTCTCTGTTAGACTGGCTGCCTTTGAGTAGATGCTGCTAGACTATGAACAAGACTAGAAGCCCATGGAGGTGGGATGATGCTGCCTTTTGCAACTGGGTAGTTTGTCTGTGAAATTCTGCGCATGTCAAATACAGCTGGAAGTGAATACAAGTCAGAATCTCTTTTTTTCTTACCCCTAGAACCTGTTCAGAGTTTTGCCTACATCCTTATTCCCAGCATTCCTGTGCTGCTTCTCCTGGGGGTCGTTGCAGCCATCTGCTGTTTCTGGCTTTTTGCAAGGAAGTAAGTGACATTTTTGTGTAACAAGTGAACCTGTGATACCTTGTCCTGGCAGTCATTTTACAGCTAGCTTCAGGATGCTGTCAGATGCTCTGGAGAGGTCTGCTTTCAACCAAATAAATGTTTAAAAAGTGGCGTGGCAGCTTCAGGCTGAGTTACTTGTGAAGTAAGATTTTATGTAAATCGCATTACACCGGTTTATGATGTTCACAGACATACAGTAGTTTGGGAATAGTGTGAAACAAGACGATGATTTTGAAGTGCTCGCAGTTAAGTTTTCCTGTTAAAGACAATATTTAAATTTTTAGAAGAACCCCTTCAAAAGTGAAAACCATAGTAAGAGAAATAAAAGGATAAATGTTTGGAGCAAATACCGTTTAGCAGTTTCCTCTCCTTGCTTTCCCTGTGTGCACAGTACCTCTGGGGGGGCTGCTGGCTGTGGTTTTGGGGGTGTCAGTGTGGAGTTGGGGTACCTCAGGGGTATCTCAGCACGTCCTGCCCGGGGACAACCCCAGGTGTGCAGCCTGCTGCCACACCCCCAGCATGACAATGACACCTAATAAATGTCATCCTGAGTGCAGGCTCTGAGTGTCAGCTTTTCCTCAAGGCTCATCATGAAATTACTGTAAGAGAGGTGTGCTATTGTTTTGTATTTGCCTCTGTAAAAATGCCTATTACGGCTTGTCCCCTTTCCCTAAGGAGACGGAACCGATTAGACACCAGCCCAAAGAAGGAGGATGCGTGGCTGTCTAACCCCAGAAGGAACAGTCCAAATCTGGATATTTACAAAGTAATCAAGAAGCAATCAGAAGCGGATCTGGCTGGAACGAGGCCTGACGCGAAGCATTCTTCCTTCCGTACACAGGACGATAAGGTGCTTGACAGCCTCTCCAGGGATTACGAGGATGCAGCAATGAACACATCAACGAGTGGCTTTGTGACCTTGGCCAGTACTGAGAGCGGCTTTGTGACCAATGATATCTATGAGCTGTGTGGAGATCGTGTGGGGAGGAGCAAGGAATCGGCCTGGGTGGAGAATGAGATATATGGATATTGAGGAAATGGAGCAAAAACCCCTGGAAATACAGATGACGAAGTCAACGTCAATACAAGTTAACCTGTTCTCCCTATGCACTTCTTTTCATAATAGTGAATGTGGTGTTTATCTTGGGTTTGCGTTGTCCCTATATTCTTCTCTCTTTTTTTGAAAGAATATGGGTTTTTAAAGATCCAAACTGAAAAGAATGTATATATTTTGCTTTGCATCAAGCTCCCTTTTTTTTTTTTTTTTTTTTTTTTTTTTTTTTTGTACTCCAGAGATACGCCTTTGAAACTAAAGGACACTCCAAAATCCCCATTTATTTAACTGACCTACTCGTCTTCAAAAGTATTACAACTCAAAAGTCAATCCCTGGTCACACTTGGGTTCTCACAGGTGTCCCCAAGACAGCTGCCATGGCTGTGGGTTGGTCGTTGTTGCCACGGCAGCCCCTATCCCAGCTGGGCTGCCCTCCCTCACCCCCTGCCTATGACACTGACACCTCCCGAGAAGGAGATCAGTGTGGTTTCTGCTTCTTTCCCTCCTTCCCTCCCGGTTCTTGCTGCCAAGGCAATGTGTGTGAGTCACAGCACATAGCTGTGTGTCACGCCAGGAGGTCGGGTTTTGAAGTGCTTTGGTGTCTCAAGGCTAATTCTGTTCCCTCACTTATCCTCTGGCAAAAGGAATTGCAAAGCAAGGAACGAGGGACTTCTCTGCATTGCCAAAGGAAGGGAACGGGGTACTCCAAAGCATTCTGATGGGTCTGGGAAACGAGAGCAGCCTGGTTAGCTGTCCAGAGATGTGCTGATTTGGCCTAAATGACAAATTAATTACCAGTTCCTTTCAATAGCCAGTTGTGGTTTTATCCTAGATCTTTTTCCTCCTTTGGCCTGTGACATGTACTGAACTGCATGAAGACTAACACCCCGATGTTAATCTTCATAGAGACGGAATTCATGAAAAGGTAGGCGAATGTAAAGAATTGAATTAAAACCAGCACTCTGACAGGTAAACTGAAGTATCATGCTAATCACTTATAATGAATTATTTGTTGTCTCCACTTATTCCAGTTAGGTAGATTAAATAAGTAATAAGGCAAGGTACTGAGGGTAGTTTCTGGAATGACAGTGGGAGGGAATGACATCTTACTTTACCGTAGTTTTTAAGGTGTTTTTGAAGCCAATATTAGATGCCTACCATTTGCCTGCACATTTGGAGGAGTAGAAATGAATGGTAGCAGGGCATAGCAGCTGCCGCACAGCTAAACATAAATTCAGGTGAAATGAGACTTTTGCTGTTAGATACGGGGAACAAGGAAGAATATGAAGCAACACCATTTACCCCGGGGAAAAAAAAAAAAAAAAAAAAAAGTCTGTAGTTGACTGCTTGACTTCTAAGGAAAAGAGATGAGACAATCCTTCACACTAGGGTTGGTTGTTTTTTTTTTTTAGATCGTTATCTCTGTTTCCTCTGTTATTTGCAGCACATTTAATAAAGGTGTTAAGGAGCTAGAAGAAATCAAGAGTATGCGTTTGCCATGGAAGTGGTATGAGGGATCTGTCCAAATTGCAGAAGCAACTTCAGGCTGGAGTTTCATTCTCTCTAAGGGGTGTAAGGAGCCAGAGCAGACTAATGACATATTCTAAGCGTTGCACTGAGTTTAATTTCTCTTTATTGAACAGAGACTGTATTTTAGCCAACTGTACGTAAATAAGAGATTTCTGGTGTAGGAAGTTGAAAACAGCTGTGATGAACCGTTCCAAGATAAACTGAATTTAACTTGGGCATTGGTGTGTTTTAAGGCCTTTCAAAGCACACTTCAGGAGATCACTTGTATCACGAGAATGAGGAATATATATCGGAAAAGAGAGAAGGGTGAATGAATCTTCACAGCACTGTCTTTTCTGCTTGGCAGAATAACGTCATTCATCACTGGGAGTGCAGAAATGCAGCTAAATGAGGGGTTGGGTGCCTAGCACTTCCTTCAGCCTGTGCTTGCCCAGCTCTGGTTTGGTGAGGAGGTACCTAGAGTTACCCCCAGCACACTGAAAAGCACACCACTTCAATCACAGCGTCAAGAAGGTACAGGATGTGCCCGTCAGCGTGGATTCTGAAGTAACTAAGTGTCTTTGAATTTGAACTCATCGCGTGGACAAGTTTTCATCTTCCATGCGTGAGGCAGAGGACGTGCCAGCATCTTCCCGGCAAGCTTGTACTTTCCTACGCCGCCGTGTACTACGAAGAGCATCCCTGTGTATGTTTGCTGAGGAGAAACGCAGCAAAGGGGACCTGGGATTACCTTGGTTTTTGCTAGGGCTTTCTGATTAATATTTTGTTCCTGAGAGGTGATCAGATCCATGTTTGTCTCTCAGTTACAAGGACTCAACGATCTTCACAGGGGGTTGAGCTAATTCCTGGGGCAAGGTCTTTGCACTGTTGCATTTGTCAGTGCAGTGAAGTGGAACAGGAGTTTGGATAAAAATTGAGAATCATATCGACTTGAATATGCTTCTAAAATCCCATGTGCTGCTGGGTATGGGCTTGCTTTAGCTGAATTCCACTGGAAAAGTTAGTTTACAGAAGTTGGAAGTGCTTGTATTTACCAAAGCTTTTGGAAAGGACTAGGAAGGGAATTGGGATTTATCAAATAAGCCCATGATCTAGTCCCATAAAAGACTACTCTCTGTGAAATGTTTAATACTGAGATCTGCACAACTGAACATACATTTACAAATATAAAATGCCCCCCGCTGACATGAACAGGCACAATCCATCCCTGTGCTCCCCAGCTGCTTCCGTCTCCAGACGGACAACACAGCGTTGTTTTGCGCTTTCTGCTTTTTAAAGGTGTTTGTCCTTACCTGAACACATCGGTGCTAAATGGACGTGTGGAGTCCAGAGCCTAAGTTGTGCAGGCAGTGGTAGATTCCGAGGCAAAGGCCATGAAGTACTGATAGCCGCAGGGTGGCCCCTGGATTTTTTTCAGTACGGAATTAGTCTTGAGTTTCTCTTGTGAATTGAGTCCAGCTGTCAATACCGAAGCCATGAATATGCTTAGAGGTTTGCACTCAGAGCTGCACAGCTTCTTGCTAGGGATCTCTGCATGTTAGTAGCTGTGTTTATGTAGAAATCGCTGCAAAGTTCCACCCTTCAGATCTGTCGGTCCTGTCTGATCTGTCAGCTGTCTCATACATCGGTTTATATATTCTCAAGGCAAGTATATTCAGCTTGGAGTAAAGCGGCACATTTTCCTTTGTCTGCACTTACTCTGGTTTCAATTATTCCAGCGATGGAGCCGTTCCTTAAAAATGGAGTTTGATTTGATTTGTGTCCCATTGAGCTGAGACCGAAGTGGGAGTTCTGCGTAGAGAACCAAGTAGGTTGGACACTGGCAAGCTGGACATCTGCCCTGAGAAAAGCCAGTGTTCAGGACATCGTCCCGCGTCTGGGGCCATTTGGATTCCGCTCTGTCTCGGTCTGATCTTAACTACCGAGTGTCTCAGACCTCTGTGAAAACCAGAAATAACATTTCACAGGCTTCTAGGGATGCCTTGAATCTAAGAATGAGTAACTCTGAAGTGATTTTTGAGACTACAATAATTGGGCCTTGTAACTGAGAAAATTTCAATTTTATCGTCCAGCAGATCTGTGCAGCAATTTTGAAGCATGTCTCGACTAACTCATTGTGTATAAAAACTGATTTGATGAAAGATAATGGTTTGGTTGAGCAGTTCTGGTGCCTGGCCCTGTGTATACCAAGTTTCTTACTCTGTCAGATCATGTTTGACCTTTTCACAAGACAAATAAAAATAGTAAATGCCTGTTTATCTATCTGTATTAAAAAAACCCACAACACCTTAAGTTTTGCCATTCTGTATTGGTTGCACTTATATCAACCTTTCAACAAAGCTTTTGTCCGTAGATCTCAGTCAAGCACAGGACTTAGGAACACAGGAGCACTAACTACTGGTCACTGAAGTTGGTTCTTATTATGATTTAAACAGCCAAGGGAAATTTTTAGGCTTCATAGCCCTGTCTAGACTTTGCAAATCCTTAGTTCAGATTTACTTCGTGGAGTCTTAAGCAATCCTGAAGGTTGCTGTGTAACTCTCAGTCATTTCTCAGCCAAACTCCGCGATTTAATAGCCTGCTGTATTATGGCAAGGAAAGGTTTCTGTTCATCTCCTCTCCCTGGTTGAGCATCTTCATTGATTTAATTTGCCTGGGATACCTTCTGTACGCTGTGATGGACAGAAACGTGGAGTGCCCGGGTTCTGTAGGATGAGTTTTGCCTTCAGGCGTACAAGATGTAACGCAGCCCTAAAGAAAGGGGCGGCTGGAGGCAATCCTGACAGTGTGAAATGCTTACAGAAGCCAGAACTCTAAGGAATACATTGCTAAAACCACAGAGAATTATTCTGGCTTTGTCTGGCTTTCCAGTAGGGATTTGCTAAACTCCAGGTTTAGGATCCACCTGGTTTTTGGAGATTTTTTTTTTTTCCCTTTGGTCAGAGACCATCTAATGGAGGGAGAATGGCCAAGCAAATAAAGAATTCCAAGCAGGAACACAAATATTGCTGTGTTCCTATTCACCTATTGCTCAGCAGGTAAATATTTCCAGTTATAGGAGAGCAACGTTTTGCTGCCAAACAAGCCTGTCTGTGGAGCATCTGAAATGAATTTAGTTCTTGATAGGGTGCCCTAAAAGTTTGCTCTTCTCCATTGTATTGAAATAACTAAGATAGGAAAATGAAGCAAAACCAATTTGCATAAACCACCAGGAATAAAAAGGTGTGCGGCAGGCTTTGGCGGAAGGTGTGTTATGTGGGATTGAAACAACAGAAATGAGCGTACAACCCGGCCATGAGTGAGCTCTGCCAATGGAAATACGCAGGAAGATGTTTCTGGATCTGTGTGCTATTGCTGCCTGTTGCAAATATTTCAGTGGGTGGCCACAGCTGCTTCTCTCTCGCGCGGAATGTTACAGGTGAGGTTGATGTGCGCGGTGGCTCGGCCCCGTGTATCTGCAGTATCGCAGAGTGTCTGCCAAGCCCACGCTGTTCCTCCACCAGGCAGTGCTGCTAGATGAAGCCCTGAAAGAAGTAATCCCTTAAAAAAAAAAAAAAATCTTCTACCTCTTAGTTAGCAACCATTTCCCCTGAAAATTCAGCAAACTCCTGGTATAGGATGCTGGGTCCTGCAATCTCCAGGGTGTCTAATGCAGTAATTAGTGTTCTTCTATCAAGTAACTGTGGGTCTATCCTTTTTTACGCTTGGTCTCGTCTCTTTTTTTTTTTTTTTTGGCAGGCACTAAGGGTCTTTTAGACATTGAAAAACAGGAAATGAGAGGAAAAAGCTCAAGTCAGATGTTGGAGCTTAGGTCTGTAAACATGTAAAGCCACGTTTTGGCAACTAAGTGTGTGCCCTGGTCGTGTGCCCTGCTGGCTTATGGAACGCAGGCAAAATCAGCTGCATGTGTTTAGCATCTCTGGGAGTTATTAGAAGGCGAGGTCGCTTTATAATTCCTTTTCTTTGCCATCTCAGTAGAGCATCCCAGCGGCGGCATTATTTCAGGAGCATTGACCACAAGAGGGCATGTGTGCTCCACGCTTTGTGTCCTTCAGCCCAGTGTTGAGAACGGCCTGGAAGAGCTCCTCTGCACCAGTGACAAGCACTTGCACAACCACTTTTTCTTGGAGCATAGCAAAAGCCATCAATGGCCGCTGTAGGCTGCTGTACAACGAATGTTTTGCGGCTGCAGTTCCTCTAGCAGCGTTATTAAGAAATGTTTTTGTAACCTGAACTTTCAGGTCAAAACCGGCGTTGTGGTGTGCAGCGCCAAGAAGTTTCTGCGAAAGTTTTCTGTTGCAAGCACAAAATCCGACTTAATAATTGATTTTTGCACCAGTCTGGTGAGATTTTACATGGATGAAAGTGGGCAGGAACCAAATATTTTATTACTAAAAATTCAATTTATAATAAAGTGGCTGAGAATTCATATTTTGCACAATGTAGAAAAAGGTTACTTCTAACACAGCAAGCTTGCATCTTGCTAGAATTTCTGTTTGGTTAGTGTTTCTGATTTCTGAAAAAAATGAAGCACCCTCTAGGGTGAAACAGGAGTGAAATTTCACAAGTCGCAGTTTGGGATGACACCATTTTCTACTCAAGTGGGATTATGGTAAACTTGCTCATGCGCCCATCAATCACTGGGAAGGGTGGATGTCTGACTAGACTCGTCACCAGTTAGTCATTGCCAGAACTTCTTAAGGGGATAAATAGAACAGTAACAACATGGTTATTATCTGCAGCAGTCCAAGCCAGCAGCATCATCTCAAAATGTCATTCCTTGGAGGAATCTGATGAACTGCAAGCGCAGTGAAGGACAAGCATTAACTTTTCATGGACATCTTCAGTTCCCCTTGCAGAACAGTCATTGCTGTTTGACAGATAACAAATTTAACCAACTTTCCACAAGTAGGAGGCAGCTTTACGTGTAAGGCATGTGGACAAAGGGAAAGCAAGAGGCAGAAGTTTTTGTTGCGTTCTTCCACACCCTTTTTGTGGCCATGCTCTGTTTTGAGCTGCGTTTGCACCTCCTGCACTCTGTGTTCATTAAAGGCCTGTAACTGTTGCTGAACGTGCAGCTGATTCAACGGACATGTACCATCACTTGTACCATCAGCTTCTGGACATGCCTTGTTGAATAGAATAAGGAATAGAATAGAATAGAATAGAATAGAATAGAATAGAATAGAATAGAATAGAATAGAATAGAATAGAATAGAATAGAATAGAATAGAATAGAA